GACCAGGTCCTCGATCTTCTCCGTGAGAGCCACTGCAAAACCTCCCTCGTGCGGGATGATTAGGCCCACTAGGAAAGCGCCGAAAATGGCATGGACGCCCAAAATATCCGTGACAAAGCCGCTAGCAAAGACCAGCAGGATGGTGACGGTAAGCATCAGCTGCGACGGTCCCTTCTCCAGGCTGCCAGTGCGACGGGCCAGCCAAATGAATGCAGGCTTAATCAAGAAGAAGAGGACGAGTGCCCAGCCGACGACGGCGAGCAGGATGTAGACTGCTGTGACACCTGTTTGCGCATTGACGAGCGCGACCGTGAGCGCCAAGAGCACCCATCCGATGACGTCGTTGCCTACTCCGGCGGCAAGTACAATGGTTCCCACGCGCGTCTGCACCATGTTAAGCGATCCCAAAATCCTGGCTAGAACAGGCAGCGCAGTGATGGAGAAGGCGGTACCGGCAAAGAGCAAAAAGTGGCCGTAAGAGACGCGCTCTTGGTTGATGAAATCCTTGTAGATTCCGTAGCTCAGCGCAGCACCCAGGCCGAAAGGCAGGATGAGCCCAGACATGCTGATCGCTGTGCTCGAGAAGGCATTGCGCCTGACAATGCTGACGTCGATTTCAAGCCCGATGATGAACAAGAAGAAGAGCAAGCCGATGTTCGCCACCAAGCTGAGGTATGGAATGGATGGCTGAGGGAAGATGTGCTCTGTGAAGTGGGGGATGCGACCCATCACACTGCATGGGTGGACTCAGGACGAGTCAGCGAGGTCTAGGCAAGGTGCCTGAAGTTCAGCTCACGTGGGACCCAGTATGATGCCGCCAATGACCTCGGCGATGACACTTGGCTGCTTGATCTTGGCAAGGAAGAAGCCGAGGATTCTGGTGAATATGATGATGCTGTACCGCGGTAACGATTCAGTTGCGAGAATAGTAGCGAGCGACAGCGTCAGCCTTGAACCAACTCAGATGCAAGATACATCCATAGCAGCGTCCCTGGCCACAGCTGGCTCAGCATCCCTACTCACATGCCTGCTTGGATGATGAACAGTTGGAGGGGATTGCTGGGATCCACAGTCGCGGGGTTGTGTCCGCTGACGACCGAGGCCGAAGCTCTCTTGCTGAGCATTCCCACCAGGTGTTCGTGCATCATCTTGACCGTGTACACGTTAGAGGATGAGGGTCGAGGTGGAATGATGTGGGTTGCGGTGGTCTGCTCAGCAGGATGTGGCTGTCCGAAAGGAAAGTCTGCGACCGATTCACGCGCTCTATTTAACCTCCCTCGCAGGTGTTGGTCTATCGCTTAGCGGATCACGACTTTGCAAAGATGGTGCAGCCGTCGAGTTCGCCCAGAGATCTAAAGCGTCGCACGAGAGCGTGGGTGTGGGGTCGACTGTCAGGGGCTCTACAGACTTCAAAACAAAAGCAGCGATGCCCACAGTGTTCCCCGATAAGCTGTGCCAGACAAGCGTGTTTGCGGCTCAACTCGATCCCTCGTCTTTGAGGGTCGGGAAGTGAACCTTGTGGCTTGGCGACAGGGGCTTGTGGGCCCTGGAGTCACAACAAGCGTGCCCGAGGTGTCGATGGTCCACTGCTGCGCGCGAGGGATGCTGATGGTCGGTCGTCTCGGTGTGCCAGCTATAAGCCCGGGGTGAGCTAGGCTTGTCAAAACGTGAATCTCAGGCACGTCTCTGCCGCTCTAA